ACTATATTTTGCCATGTAAAGCTAACTTAACCCAAGTTAGAAATGGAAAAGTAGTTTGGAACCCTTTTCTATAGGCTTAAACCCCTGTAGTTACCCCTTTTCAGCATGCTCCACCCCTTAACTGGTAGTTGTAGCTGTTCCCAACCATAATAGCTTACACACCAGGTGCATATAGTTTAAGGCCTTATGTAAAATCACCTTCATAAGCCCACCTTAAACCACATAATTGCATGACACATTTGAACCAGAACGACACAGGCTGGACGTCGTTGGAGACAACCTTCGCTGGAGGCGACCTGCAATCCTGACGTTGGTCTCCACTCTTCATCCAGTGGCCGCTTCTTCAGTTCAACCCAAGGGTACCCCTCTGTATGCTGATTAATCAACACTTCCAATCGTTGTGGATTTACCATTGTGGATTACATGACTTTTTCTAATGGATTACAGACTCTGTTTTCAAGGGGTTAAAGCATTGCTACAATGGAATTATCGAGACGATATGGAATTATAATCAACACAATGGAATTACCAAGAACATTGTGGAATTACCTTGACTTTTGTTTTCCTTGCTGGATTACTTTTGACTTTTGTTTTCCTTGCTGGATTACTCTTGACTCTTGTTTCTTTGCTGGATTACATCAAGCTTCAAGGACAATCGAAGGCGTAAGTCCATAGTTGGAATTCATCCCCGTGGACAGGTGATGATTTCCAAAGGGGGGACTGTAGTGGACTAGGCCCATGTCAAAAACTAAGTCTAAGGTCAAAAATCTTGACCTTAAGAACCTTGTGGGACAGGAACTGTCATTTCATTGATTTGAATCCAGAAATACAGGTTCACCCATCCTGAGACTTTCTCTCTTGAAGATTCAAGTGAAAAGAACACTCTCTGTTTTATTATCATTACTATTTTACAAATGTTGATAATCAAAGTGTCTTAGTTCAAACCATTTTAGATGTTGCAGTGAACTAATCAATTTTATTAACTGTGTAATGATTTTTTTTTTCTCATGCAAAGTTAGAACTCATGTCAAAGCTGTTACAGAGTAATTATGCCTTTTCTGATTTCTGCTTTTGAATGAGCAAGTGTAAGTTGGTCCAAGGTTGGAGTCAAACGCAAAACAAGTTGTTGGCATGTTTTTAGAATCCTCTCAGACATAAATATAGAGGTTTTTGGCACCTGTTTCTGAAACGCGCCAAAACAAAACTCTCTCTGTCTGTGAGAACATTTCTGATCTTTCCATAACAATTCTTGCTGTCTTCTAACCTCTTACGTCACAAAACACACCCCGTCTGGTTGTTCTGACCAATGGGAATACTCCCAAAAGTGGACCGGAAAGCAGCTCTTTAAAATGTCAGTACTTCCTGGTCTACTCGTGCTCTGCTCGAGATCTGTAAACCACACAGTTATGTTAGAAGCTCTGGGATGGTGCTGGAACAGTTCTGGGACAGTTCTGTTCAGTTCTGATGGAGTGCTGTTGGAGTTCTGCTGGATACACAGTCCAACCAGTTCTGTGAGAGACGGGATGATCCTGACATGACAACAGAGCTCTTCCGAGTTCCATGGGATTATAACATTTTCACTCGCCACTACTTCTGACGATTCACAGCATCCTAAGGAGACGCTGGACAGGTAGCGTTAACGGAGCTCCATATCTGCTGATTAACTTCAGAGAGGTAACGAGTCAAGTTTCCTACCAAGCGTACCGGGGAGAGCTGGGTTCTGACGGAGAGTGTCAATTCTGGTGAACACTTCCCCTCCCATACCATCTTTACTCCCTCTAAACTTCTTTCCCATCTTTAAACTTTCTATCAAGTAGATATACTTCCAGATATTTAGAAATGTCTGTGTAAAATGCTCATCCACATCCGTGTGGGTAAAAGATCATAATTGTACAGTTTCATAAATGTCTGTGGTGAAGCAACGGAAAAATCATGGCTGTATGATTTTTCTTGATTGATTGCTTATGTTGTTATTTTCATAATTTGCCAAATTAATGTAAATGTTTGATGTTAAATTTTGATTCTGTAAATAAATGACCGCATTCATTTTGATGGGTCAAATATAAATGACGTCTCACGTTTGCATTTCCTTAAATTCAATGCACGTTTTATTCAGTTCAGAAAAATGAGGAATCCGCGTTAATTGATGAATATATCTGAGCATCTGTTCATCTACACATATATTACTGGCTATGTTTGCCATGAAGTTTTTTAATTGACTACCATTTTATGTATAAATCTTCATTTGATGTTCAGAATTTATTTATGTAAGGACTCGTGTACATATGTAAAATATGTATCATTATCATCATCATTATTATTTAACTCTTTCTTTGCATGCAGATCCTCTTATTATAGTGAATGTGTTTTATACTGATACTATGACTGCAGCACAAGTTTAAGACAAAGTCTTCTCGTTCTTGATCACAAGTTATAAAACACACAAACCTTTATGCTCATCTTGGGTCTGGGGTACATCAATGCAGACGTCCGGATCTCCATTTGCAGGTTCACTCTGACATGGATCAGTCTGCACTGGACCTCTCTGAACTGAACCCCCCGTTACCTAGAAATAAAACATGAAATAACATTTAGTGTACAGTATGGTTAAATGCAGTGTAAAGAATCAAATAAACAGTAGTCAGAATATATCTAATGACAGCAACAAAACACACCAGACTGTAACTGAATGTACTGTAATATGTATTTTGTCAGTGTGTTGGGGGATTTACCTTGTGATGCAGGGATGCTGCTTCTGCTGATATGCTTGTGAATGTCCTCTCTGCATCATGGTTACTGAGGAAGGGCAGGGACTTAAAACGGGGGTCCAGAGCTGCTGCAGTGTGGAAGAGATCTTCAAGGCCTGTGTAGCGTTTCTCCAAGTCATTCTTGAACGCCTGCTTCATCTCTCTGATTAACACTGAGTCTTCATCTGATGGTTCAAAGTTCTTTTTAAGCTTTGCTTTTACAGGAAGAATCATTGAGAGTGTGGGTCGCTTGTCTTCAGACATGCTGGTAGTCACAAGTTTGACCGGCGCCATCAGTTTGACAATGTCTTCAATGTCGCAGAAGTCTTTGTCCTTGAGAGTATTCACCTCTTCTCCTTTTCTGAGGTCCCTGGACATGAGTGCTGCAGAAATCGCAGGATGTTGCTCAAAAAAGCGTTCAAGCATGTCATGGGAGCTATTCCACCGCGTGGATACATCTTGGATGAGTTTGTGGGAAGGCAAGGCTAGTTGTTTCTGTTTCTCTTGAAGGATTTCTGCTGCCCTCACACTACGATGAAAAAAGGCAACGGCTTTCCTCACTCTCCCCAGCAACCTTGCTACTGTGTCAACTTTAAAGGCTTTCTGTGTGGCGAGATTAATAGTGTGTGCAAAGCACATGAGGTGAGGGGTCATCTCTGCTTCCACTCCAGCTAATACCATGTTTGTGGCATTGTCTGTCACCAGGGCTGGATCTTTATCAAGAAGGTTCCAGTCAACACATGCCTGTTTTAGCAGAGCACCAATGTTTTTCCCAGTGTGGGATCCTTTGAATGCCCTGGTTTGCAACACATGCACATTTAACTTCCAGTCTGGAGAGATGTAGTGGACAGTGATGGTCACATAAGACTCAGTGGAGCATGACGTCCAGGCATCGGTTGTAATAGCAACTCGCTCTGCATGTGCCAATTCTTTTTCAACTTGGCTCTTCACTTGGGCATACAACGCTGGCATGCATGTGTTTGTGATATGCTGCCGGGACGGAATCTTATATCTGGGCTCTAACGTATGAATCAAATCCTGAAATCCTTCCCCCTCCACTATATTGTACGGCCATAAGCCCTTAGCTATGAAACGGGTTATTGATGCCGTTATATCCTTAGCTCGTGATGAACTGTCGCCGAGTTGCCCGTAAAATTTAGTGATAACGTTACCCGTCGCTCTCTGTGTGGCAGCTGCCTGCTCCTGCTCGTTGTTATGGGGCTTGAGAAGTTCGCCATACTCCTCTCTGTGTTTTCTCGTTGCATGTTGATCAAGGTTTGTTGTGCTACCAGTGTACTTCAGAGGTGCTCTGCATAGCTTACAAATAGCGTGGTTTTTGTCGAGTTTTCCGTCCTTCTTGTAAAACCCGAAAACGTTCCACACTTTAGACTTTTGTCTGGCTGCTGTATTGAAAATCTTTCTCGGTGACCCGCTAACGCTGCTACTATTTACATCCATTCTCGTTGTCTTGGTGAGCTACGGAGCATGCGTGAGAATAGCTTCGCGGGCATTTCCGACTCTCGCGTTGTTTTATAAACGCACTGTCAACCGAGCTAGTCTCGCGATACCCGGTTCATGTCTCTTCAACCGGTTCATCTCAGCATTTGTGGCTGGTTGCTGTCGATTTATACGGCTGCTACCGACACAACCATATCGCTAGCTTGTCAAACCGGATATCCGGTCGTATCGGTTTATCTATAACAACCCTAGTTTTAAAGTTGCATTATAGGTTTTTGAAAGTGGAAATCTGAGGCCTCCTCCTCTGTTAAGAGACGGCTTTTATCTTTTTACATAAATTGCTTCCTTCACCCCCCTCTCAAACCATCTGTGTTCTCGGTCCAAAATGTGCACATTTATCAGCTGGTAAAATGGTGATGTTTTGGTCCTGGCTGAGTGATGTTACAGCTTTCCTTTCCTGTGGTGTGAGGTTTGAAGGAGGCGGTTTGGCACTGGAGAGGGTTGCTGATATTTTCATTCTGAGTTGTTCTGCCTCTCCTTCCGTCAAGTTGTTGTTCCTACTCCTTATGTGGAGTACCACAAGGTTCAGTACTTGGACCTAAATTGTTTATTTTATATGTAAATGATTTAATTGAAGTATCTGACATCCTCAAATGTGTTTTATTTGCTGACGATACAACGTTTTTCTGTTTGGGTAAAAATATGGAACAGATGTTTGAATTGATAAACAAAGAGATTGTTAAAATACAAGATTGGTTTAAATTAAATAAGTTATCATTAAATGTTGATAAAACAAATTTTATGATATTTAGTAAAAAAAAGATAACTGGATTTTTCTCTCAAAATTGATGGTACTGAGATATGTAGAGTGAATGAAGTAAAGTTTCTGGGTGTAATTATTGATGATAAACTGTCATGGAAACAGCATATAAATCTTGTAAAAATTAAAATATCTAAGTCAAATGCAGTATTATACAGAGTAAGGGACTTATTAAACAATGATGCTTTATATTTGCTATATAATACACTTGTAGTCCCGCATTTAATTTATTGTGTCACTGTTTGGGGTACGGCATGTAAAACCATAACAAAGCCTATTTTTATTCTGCAAAAAAGAGCTGTAAAAATTATAACAAAAAAGTGTTATTGTCACCCTTCTAATGTTCTCTTTTGTCAATTGAAACTACTTAAGTTTTATGATTTGGTGGATTATAATATTCTTTTATTTATGTTTAAAGCTCAGAATTGCATGCTACCATCAAACATTCAAACATATTTTGTAAAAAGGAAGAGTTGTTATAATTTGAAGGGCATAGATATTTTTGTTAAACCCAAGTATAGAACCAGTTTAAAGGCTCGGTCTACTACTATACAGGGAATGAGTCTGTGGAATGATTTGGAAGATGATGCTAAAATGGTGAAGTCAATGTTTATATTTAAAAAAAGTTAAAAACTGTTTTGTTGGAACAATATATATAACGGATTAATGTCTATTTTGTTAAGTATGAAATTTTGATGAGTTATGTATTTTGCTGTATTATATATGAATGTTTATGTTTAAATTGATGGTTTGAATTGATTTTGTTTATGAGGGAGCAGATATGATAAGAAATTTTCTTCTTCTGCTTCCTTTCATTTCATATTTGTTTTTCTTTAATTTTTTTGAAATTGTATTTGTGTTTTTATTGGAAATTAAATGAAATTAATAAATAAATAAATAAATAATCGTGGATTCAGTGGCCGTGATTAGTTCCACAACAGGTATTTCTTGTGGGGAGATGGCAAAGTTTAGTCCTTTTGTCAGCACATCTTTCTCATGATGTGTCAATGTCCTGATGGATAAATTTCTAACCCACTGGTCCTGAAAATTAGTGTTGGCAACAAACTCCTGATCTTGACTGATGGTTTGTGATGAGAAAACAGCTCTCTGTTGTAATTTTTGAAACTTACTTTTTTAGCGTTCCTTGCTCTTTTGATGCTGTGAAAGCTGGGCTTTTTCAACGAAACAAGAAACTTCTTCCAACAGAGGAAGTGGTAGCCGAGTAGACAGCTTCTGGAGGGTCTGATCCATTTTGAGTGAGAGCTTCAATGGTGAAGTGTATCTGTCTTATTCTCTCACTGAGCAGCTTGTTTTGAGCTTTCAGGAGTATTCCTTCTGCTCTATGTCCTTTGATCGTGGAGTGGAGTTTCAAACTGCTGGGGATGAGTTTTTCTTGTCTGCATCTCAGACTGAAACGAAGATGATTCCTGTAGTCTGCAAACTTCCTTGACATCTTCTCAAACTCCCGCACTGCTCCTAGGGTATCCTTCCCAAAATGTTTAGCAATATGCTGGTGAAGATTCTCAGTCGTCCAGGACATGATGAATTCAAAAAGCGTTCAAGCGTGTGTGTCTTATCTCACTCAGCCTTATAACCTGAATCTCTCACTCTCTGCTCTTTGAATTGAGAAAGCTCCTCGGATGAGGAGCGAAACGTCTTCTGTTACAAATAAAGTCCAGTTGTTTTTGTATTGAACGCTTTTTGAATTCATCATGTCCTGGATGACTGAGAATCTTCACCAGCATATGTGGAGACACATTTGTGGGTGAGGAGGAGGATGGTTCCTGTTCCTGAGGCTCCAAGTCCATTGCTGAAGATAGCTGTTCAGTTGAAGAAGTGGATGGCTCTTCATCCTGGCCTGTTGCAGTGGGTGCTCCAAAATATTTCAGAAGCGCCCCTGAATTCGCATCAGATATATAAAATTATATATTATATATTTTTTATGTTTGGTATTCTGAATACCAAACATAAAAACATACACCATCAATTGTGTCATCGTCAAACAGTCATAATTATATCCCTCGTGGTTATTTAATAGGCTATATGCCGCCCCCTGCTGGAGGCCGCCCCGGGCGGCCGCCCATGTCGCCCATATAAGGAACCGCCACTGCCAATGGTGATCGGTGACTTTTGAGGACACAATCTGCCTTTCAGTCACCGGAGCGTCTCAGGCCTTGCTGGTATCATTTTAAGCAGTGGTGGAACATTCTGACAGCTCGTTCTGGTGAGACAAGAGAACTTAATGCTTTCTGGTGATCATACATTCACAATAACGTTAATTCAGATACACCACAGTTAATTTAGACAATTTTAACTCTACCCCAACAAACCAGTCCAAGGTTCTGCCTTTTATCTATACATTTGTCTTGGAATCTAGCTGTTTTTTTTTTTTTGTTTTGTTACCTTTTTCCTTTTAGCCATCCTATTTGTTAAAAAAAAAAAAAAAAAACTGTAGTATGAGTTTTTATAACTGCTTATTGTTGTTGCTGTTGTCCATTGTTGTCATCTTTCTTTGTTGAAATCAGGTCTCTCTTGTAAATGAGTCCTCGAGGCTCAATGGGATTTACCTGTATAAATAAAGGTTGATTGATTATAAAAAGTTACACTGACTTTAATAATCAAATAACCTTTGACACAAGGTAATTTTGTTATTTGTGTATTAATTTTTATGAATAACCTTCATCAGATATATACATCAGAGTATTGTTTTTGTAATAAAATACATAAAAATCAACTAAATTTGTGATTATTTTGACATATCTGTGTGTATTAACTGATTTAATGCTTTTTAAACACGAGCAAGAATTCACGTTTCAGTTTACATTTGAAGGTAGAGACTGATTTTTCCTCTGAAAAGAGGTGGTGCCCACGCAACAAGGTTGTTTGCATAGTAAATGCATATCTTATGAGCTTAACTCATAACTAATAAATAACAAATCCCTCTACAAGCTTAATCATTAAATTATTATCTTTGTGTTAGATTAATTTATAAATCACATTTAAACACTGATTGTACCAATTACATTAAATAAAAAGTAACACACGTTCTCTATCACCGTCATTAATCAGCAACAAACAAGCAGCAGCTTCATCTACCAGAGAGACTGACGTTACGTTTTCTCACTTGGAAACAGAACAATGTGTTAAATTGTAGAGATTCACCTGCAACACGAGTTGGGAGTGAGACATGTTGTATCAGCTGCAGCTCCTTCCTCCTCCTCCTCGTGACTCCAACATGTTTACGTTTATCAGCGTGATTCTCCCGTGTCGTGTCATGAATTTTCAAAGCTGCATGTTTCTCAGTTTTTATCTTTGTGAAGAGCTCCCACACTTTGGAGGACTTGGGTCGAACAGTTTTCTCTGCGTTGGTCATTTGTAAAATTTACTTATTTTCTTTTGAAAACAGCCTCTGCTCTGCTTCCTCCTCCCTCCTCGCTCTGTTCAACTCACGCTGCAGAGGCTTTTTTTTCAATCTTTATTCAGTCAGTAAGAATTGACAATGAACTGAAGGTGAACAAAACAGCTCCGTAGCGCCGTGAAAGACACTTAACCGCGCAACACAATGAATCGATAATGAAATTTGTTGCCAACACTTTTAATCTTCAATTTTTATTGATTTGTATCGATTTTATCGATTTGTTGTAGCAGCCCTAGTGGGAACAGCCCCACCTGTTGTCTCTGCTCCGTTTATTGTTCGGAAGTGAGCTTAAAATTACGTAGATCTCTGTATTTAAACACGCATGTACTGTACACAGAAAGATGTCGCACAGAAATAGTTTTAAAACTTTTATTAAAATATATACAGACTTCACTGCTTAGAGCACTTCTGCTCAGCTGAGCTCACATCTTGAACAACTGGAGGAGGGGGACAGCTTTAACATAACTTTAAAAAAAATTAAAAAGCACCGATGGTCGACCAGAGTCACTCACCGCTCTGTTCTCTGTCCTTCTCTGCACTGAAACCATGAAAATCCTCTTCTTCAGTGTCAGAATTGAAGAGGCTCAAAAAAACGTTATCACACACTGGCTCCTTGTCGCTCTCGCCCTCAGTCCCTCGTGCTGTCCACATCATCCCGCAGCAGTCCAGCCAAAGTCTGTGCTGTGCACGAGGCGTAAAATACATTAACTGATCTGAAGAATTTAGCGCCTTTTTTTTTTTAACCTTTGCTTACTTTAAACAGAAAGACTCATTAATGCACGTGTATCTTGTAGAATGGGTCAATGACAGTATCTCATTGGTCATTAAGGTTACACTTCATTGGTCATTAAGGTTACACTTCTGGTCACATGATGACAGAGTAGGTGGCGTTATGGTAGTAAATTTTGAAACCATGACCTAGAATCGTAGCACATCTGATTGATTACCTGCAGGTATTCTGCTTTTGTTGCAAAAGCCTGCCCTAAAGGGGGGTTGGGAGCCAAG